TATGTTATGATTTATCATATATATATTATATTAATATAAATACATACATTACAGGGAATTGCATATACTTKATAATAACCAAAAATTCTGCGTCTAATAATGCATCAAAATAAAATTTACATAAAGCTACTATAGGAGGAACAATATAATTTTGTACTAACAAAATAAACATTAAAATTGTCTTATTGTTYAAATAAGTTATTGAATTTTCGCAATYAATTCTATTGTATATTTTATTATTAGTATAAGACCWTAATAATATGAGTTAATTGTAATAACTTAAAATCATAAATTTCATATTTTATGTAGGTACCTATGAACTTAAGAATATTATAAAATGTATGAAATACGTTTAGAAATAAGCTTATTCCTGATAATTTATATTTTAGAAATCATTAATTGTATGATTTGTATGTAAATCATATTATTTTTTTTTTTTAATTGACTTCATTATAAGTTGTATGTAATCCTTCTCGTATAGTTTCGTATACCTCAATAGATTAGATAATATATCGTACATATTATATACTTTTATGATAGAGCATAAAACTTTTAACCAATTTACACCGGGGTGTATAATTATTAAATAAATAAATTATAATTTTTAAAATAGACGTGCTTGAGACGAGTAMATTTTTCTAAATATTAAAACAAATTCAAAAAATAATTATGATAAATCAAAAATACTATGGCGAAAAAAATTCGTTTATTATTTAATAAACAATATATTCACTGCACAGTGCACATATTAGTCAATTAGCTCCAAACAGTATTGAACAATTTTCCAACAATCAACATTTTGCTATGATTTTCTATATAAAATTATCAACAGTTATATTATATACATTATATATGGTCATAATACGTTAATAGGATTGTGTTGTATTACTGTATTAGATATTTAACAAAAACAGATCAATCAAAAACTGTCTAATAATCAATAAATGAGGATATAAAATTATTTAATAGTATTATTATTTAATTTAAAATAATTTACATAGTATCATTTCATCCAAACATAAAAATGATATTTTTTAACCTAACCATTTTATAACTAATATTTTAACTAATACACAAATAAAAGTAGATTAATTAAATTGGCAAGTGCCAATATTTTTTTTCTCGTGCAATTATTGAATAACTGACATCAACTTTATTTTAATAGGACTTTATTCTGACTACTACATGCGCCTATCAGTACATTAAACATTTTATATATTTTAGAAATCTTCAATTAAAATGGCCAATTTATTATAACTTATAACAATGTGTCAATAATAATAGATTTAATATTATAATTAGTTTATTAACATCATAAATATTATTATTATTATGTATTTATCATCATCAAATATACCTAAATATTTACAATGGGGCAGCATATTTTTTCATTTTCCAAATTGAAAATACAGGAAGACTTAGATGCCCACGTGTATTTACAAATATTAAGTATAAAAAAGTGTTTATCTTTTCTTTAAATCGATATAATTTTAATTTTTGACACTTCAAGGCTAAAGCTTAAACATTTTGCATTGAAATAGAAAATAAAACATCGGTTTAATATTTTAACTGACAGAAAAGCGTAGATGATTTTACAGTAAGTTGTTTAAAAAAAAAATGTATAAATCTGAAATATTGCTATATCTTTTATTTTCTTATTTCTCCACATTTACTAAAATGATAAAAATGTATTTTATTTTATGTAAGTATATAAGCAGAGGTCAACTTAAACTCTTAAACTCATTGTCTTTATAAAAATGAATGCATAAAATATTTATGAGAAAACAAAACCAATATAAATTGGATACGTAGATGTTTTAAGCTTTATTTATATTCTAAAAAATCATTTAGTACTTTTAAAAGAGTTTGCATACTCAACTAAATTAACAAAACTATCAGATCAATCAATTTTTAAAGTTAGAAAAAAATATATTGATTAMATTTTTTTGAGAAATTCAACAAAATGGTATAGGAGGTGCAGTARGTGCACACTAATTGAATTAACTTTTAAATTGATAATTAGATACTTTTAGGTATCATACTATYTTTGAGACTAGGATAAGTTCCAAATAAGTTGTATGATCTCCAATTATCCGTACTTTTATACATTATTGTTGTGACATAAATATGTATCATTTTATTCGTGAATATAATAGAATTTTAAATAATGTTTAAGAATAAAAATAATTCATATGACATATCATACATTTTTACTGAGTATCGGTTGTTTAATGATTATGCGAACAGAAAATGATAGATATAAGTAGGTTTTTGTAATTAATTTTACCATTCAGTAGATGATATGGAAATATTAAGGAAATAAATATCAGATTATCTACAACTATAAACTCATAAATGACAAATCGAATTATTTGCATAAGAATTTGGCACGAAATCAATCAAACACTGACAGTCAAAAACTGAAATAATAATTTCTAGTCCAATTATTTGTAGAAACCTTAACACTTAAGTACTTAAGTCTACGTAGGTATGTAAAAAAACACTTTATTTATATGGGCRATAATACAAATATTCAACTGTTTTTCATTTGTTTTACGTAAAGAAATATGATGGTAAATAATAATATTGTCCAATTGTTTGCCAATTTAAGTGATCCACTGGCAGCGGCTGTATGGGCCGTCGATCCAGACAGTCGGGCACGATCAACATCTGATCTCCATTTGATGTAGTATTGTGGWGGAGTCTGCGTCATTGCTCTTAGCCTAAAGTACAAAAGTATCATATTTAATGATTTGTTTTGAAATTGGCTGAAAATATATTTTATAATTWTATTTAAATTGCATACTTGATGACCACGATATTCATTTGCCACGGGAGCGTGTTTGTTGAATTTTTTTCTCTGGAGCAGAATGTGTATAAAATCGGACCGGCTTTGTCATCTGATCTTTCCGAATACTCGTGAATGCTTATATTCCATGCTGAGCAAGGACCTAAGACATAAATTATATTTTATTGCATGTAATTTTTCTTTGTTATTACTTTTTATTTCGTACAATATTTCCAAGAAATTATTTTCAATCTATTMAAAACGATGTTTTACCATAGATTTAGAGTATAGCCCAGATTTATTAATATTTATAGCTTGTAATGCTTGTATACTTTGATTCGAATCTATTTAAATTCTAACAGTTTATTTATTATTACATGAATTAAATAATAATTATATTAATAAAACGACCAGTGGCTATCAAGAATTTCTAAAAGGGGGGTAATAATCCCACCCCTGACTACGCCACTGAAAACGATTGTATTACTTTGYAGTTTTTAAATTTAATTAATATTAAATATTGCATAGAAAATTTTAAGGATGGTGACATTTTTAGTTTCATTAAAACTGTTCTGTCGTTAACTTTGAAAACTTATATAAGTCAGTAATTACATTTTTATRAAATTAAATCTTGATTTATCAACCAAAATTCCAATGTAATTTTATTATTTTGACAAAAAGTTTCGTATAGGTTGTAAAAACATAAAACTAGGTTTTAAGTATTTTATTTTTATGATCTTAAATTTTACTTTATGTGTATAAAATTTGAAAAAAATAATAAATCAGTAAGTATTGAACATTAATTTTTTGAACCTGTAGTGTGATTGTTATGATAAATTATTAAAAAAATCATCATGCAAATAATAAAAAATAATTATAAATATTAATAATAAAAAAATTATAGTAATTATTAA